GTGGGAACTTTATGTCACATCCATCAAGACTTCCTCCTGCCAGGTGAGAGGTGGCCACAGACAGAAAAGAAGTCGACCAATAGAAATGCTCGTGGGGCTAGGGACAAGCTGGGTGTTTGGGAATAGGACTTTAGGGAGAGGAGAGGGGAGGAGTGCCCCAGGGACAGGAACACAGTGCTCGGTCTCTGCCAAAGACGCAGCCCGTCCACCGCCAGGACCCGATGTCATTCACAGGTTGGGTGGAGGGACTTTCACTGCCTTTCAGCCCCCAGATGACACTATTTAGCCAYGGAATCGAGAAAGGGGCAGTGCCACCCGGGCAACACCTATGAACAATTCTTCCGGTTCTTCTCTTCCTCCCACCCGCCTCTTTGTCCTTCTTTCGTAAAGATACTGTGTGGTGTAACATTGGCTTGAGTTTCCCACTCACTTGCTGGCTCCATTCTTTCCTCTGAAGTCTGTCTTCTGTCCCTGAAACCTGGTAAATTTGTGTCCACTGGGACACCCCTGACCCTCTGACCACYAAAGCCTGGGATCTCTTCTCTCCTATTCTGTTCAGTATCTTTGGCCTTTGGCTCTGTTGACTCCACACAGCTTTCAGCTTTCTCTTGGTGACCAGGATGTCACCAGTCTCTCCTGTTCTCCTTCCACCTCTCCAACTGCTTTATCGGTATCTTTTCATGGTTCTTGACCATGTCCCAGATCTTTTTTTTATTATCATTAGTATGTTTTGACCCTGGGGACTGGACCCAGGGGTACTTTACCACTGTTTCACATCTCCAACCCCTCATTTTTTATTTTCAGACAGGGTCTTGCTAAGTTACCAAGGCTGGCCTTGAACTTGAGATTCTCCTGCCTCAGCCTCTCRAATTGCTGGGATTAACGCATGTAACACTGCGCCCCACCCCAACTCTTATTACTTGGAGTTCTTGAGAATTTTGCCCTTGTTTTCTCTGCACCTGTGAGCGCACATGCACACACACTCCTGGGGATACTGCACACCCACSGTGACTTCATTTTGTCCTCCGGTAGATCCCTGATCCACTGTTTCTCCTCTCTGAGGCCTTCCTCAGCTCCCAGGCACTGGCCCTTGGCGGTTTCTGCAGTTCTCATTTACAGCACTGATGATGGCACATCTGTCCCTCCTYCTATATTGAAAAATTTCAAACACACATGCACATCGCACCGTGGGTGTGTGTGTTCCTGGGTTGAACCCAGGGTCTCACATAGGCTAGGCAAGCACAGTGCCACTGAGCTGTGTCCCAGCCTCCACCCTGCACTTTAATATTTGACTACACCCTTGATAAGAGAGCCTGCTGCCACCAGCAGCCATTCTCTGCTTTTTTCTTGGTAATGGAACTCATCACTTAGCGGGGTATATAAAACAGGTTCCATTTCTCAGCCTTTCTTGCAAATAGGTGTGCCCATGTGACCAAGTTCTGGCCAATGGATGCAAAGGCGGGGTRTGTGTGCAGCATGCTCCATGAAGAGGTTTGATCCTCACTCTTTTCTCCTGCGGGCTATCTGAAGGAGGACCATACTGAGTAGCAARGGCTAAGCTGGGAGACGGAGGAACCTATGTTCCCACATTGCTTAACTATCAGGACTGAGATCCAAGACTTCCCGAGCCAACACAACTTACTATTTGATCCCTAAAAATTATTGTTCAGGAAGATTTGACTGTAAACCAATAACTAGCTCCAATGTTTGCATCAGGAAATTTATGAGAAAGAATTTATTCTAACAAAAGATTGCTCATCTTGGCAAATAACCCCACCCCAGCAGAACAAATTATTCTCCTGGGTAAACAACTCACTTAAAGTTTATTCTTCAAGACTCCAATTTTCAAGACTCGGTGTGTCCATCAGGCCTAAACAGTATATCCAACTCGGCCCATCCTGTTAGATCCCAGCACTGAGAGATCTGCCTCGGACACCGAGGCCAAGCCCCCCAACGCCTGCAGACATGGCCTGAGTCCACCACCCTTCACACCAAGGATGTCCCCAGGGGATGCTGAGGTRGTCCCCCTCCCTATTGCAGCCAGTTCCAGGACCTGGCTTTGCTCCATCAGCCGGTTACTCTGGTGGTTTGAAGGGGAGGTGGCAGTTGATAGTGATCCTGGGGGCCACTTAATAGCCCTGGACTTCATTCACATGAGAGGGACCTAAACTTCTATCTCATCAGGACACTTACTTTGGGTTCTTGGTCCCTGGTGGCTGCTAGCACACGTCCCCCTGCCTCCTCCATATCATGGACATCTTTATGATTCACACCGCGGCCACCATGTAAGAGCACTGCCCACGTGTGAAAAGCACAGGACTAGATCTCTTTGCTTAACTCTGGGGCGTGTTGATCTGTGGAATTTCTTGTACATTTAGATATGAGCCTGATAAAACCAGTTTTAAAACAATCAAGTGGGCCAGGAGTGTAGCTCAGTGTACCTACTTAGCATGTAGGTTCCAGTCCCTGGGCTCTGTTCCCAGTTGCCCCAACACAAACACACACAATACCATAAAGTATACATCTAAGCAAGCATTGTTTCCTTCAACTTATTTACCTTAGGAATTTGTTGATCTATCTTAATAATACCACTAGGGCTTGAGATTTTAAAACGACTTTTGTAATTACATCTTGATTTGGATCCTGGTGGTTGACAGACTATCTTTTTGTTTAAAACCCCTTTGTGGTCTGGGGCTGTGGCTCAGTGGCAGAGTGTTCACCTGGCACATGCGAGGCCCTGGGTTCGGTCCTCCCCAATATTTTTTAATATACAGATTGGACTTTCTCCTCACTTATTTTTTAGAATTTATTGATGAAGGGGGCTGGGGTTGTGGCTCAGTGGTAGAGCACTTGGCCTTGCATGTGTGACACACTGGGTTTAATTCTCAGCAACACATACAGATAAAAGAATAAAATAAAGGTCCATCAACAACTGAAAAAGAAATTAAAGAAAATAATTTATTGATGATGGATGTCTGCTTTGAATTCCCAAGGTCTCCACTTATTGGATTTACAATAGTTTGGATCTCGAATGTCCCCCCTCCCTCCWAGGGCTTATGGGCTAAAGGCTTAGTCACCAACTTCTGGCAATACAGAAGGTGGCAGAACCTTTAAGAGGTGGCACCTAGTGGAAGGAAGTTAGGTGACTGGGGCTGTGCCTTTGGAGAGTATATAGGGACCCTAACCCTTTCTTCTCTTTTTTGCTTCCTGGTCACTTTGAGATGAGCAACTCTGCTCCACCACATGCTCCAATGGATTGTGATATTCTGCCTTGTTGCAGTCCTCAAAATAACAGAGCCAACTGACCATGGACTGAAACTCTGATACCCTGAACCAAAATAAACTTTTCTTCTTAAGTTGATTTTCTCAGCTATTTTGTTACTGTGACAGCTAACTAATAGGATCATTTCTCATGGTGTCATTTAGCATGTTTTTCTGTTCTCTAGTTCTTATAAATTGATTATTACATCGAGAGGTTCAGCAGACCAATTTGGTAAGATCCTTTCAATAGATGCTGCTGTGTACTATAACCAGGAGACTCATTGTACCTGAGCAGTCTTTTTCAGCAATGTTTTTCTTTTTCTTTTTCTGCTTTTGCAGTGCTGGGATCTACACCAGGTCCTCACCACATGCCAGGCAAGCASTCTATCACTGAACTACATCACTAGTGAGCTGCTTCTTTCAAAGCATCTTTTGATGGTTGGATGTCATTTCTACACACAAGCAAAATCCATTCAGACTGAATCTAGCAAGTAACGTGGGTGATTGAGCAGAAAAATGATGGTATGAGCTGAAAAATAAGGTGTGATCACGTCATGAATGATTTACTTGTGTAGCTGGTAAACAGGCCCTGACGGAAATTCCAAAACTGTTCCGAGCAAAGGCAGCCTCAAACGCAGCCACCCAGGTGACTAATGTGATCGGAACAACAGTGACATTGATGGAGAAATTGTATGGTGCTTATACAGCCACTTTTCTATGTGGGTGGACGTTCCAGGCATCCCTTTGTAGTCATTAGCTCCTTTTAAGGACCCCTGCTTGTCTCAGTGTGTGGCACTTCAGTTTTGGAACCTGAGCTGGGGCGGCTGCGCTCTGGCTGCCACGCCAGTCCCACCCAGCAGCCCACTGAGGACGCTCGTCGCGTGTCTTCGCCCCATCCCACGGCCTGCCACGTACGCTGTCCTGGGTTCCACCCCACCCTCCCCGGGCCTGGTGTGGGCCTCCTGTCCATCACCGGCCAGAATGTGGTCAGGGCACTGTCGGGTGCCTCCTGCTCTGGCCAGTCAACAGAAAATGAGGAAGACCCGGAGGAGCGCCGGAGGCAGGCGCCAGCCCGGGAGCAGCCAGGCGGGAGGGCCGCCTCTTCTCCCGGTTCACAGACCGCGCGCCGCACCCAGCCCCTCCGGCCCCACGCCACGCAGCCGGCTATAGGCGGAGCCCGCCCCTCTCCCAGTCCCGCCCGGAGAAGCAAGTTAGGCGGGGCCACAGGGCTTCTGGCGAGACCCGCCGTGCGTCAGGACAGACGTCTTCCCGAGCTCCTCCCACGCTCGCCGGCCCCGAGCGTGCGCCTGCGCAGTTCGGGCCCGRCCAGGTGGTCACCCCACCCCCCCTCCCTAGCCACCGCCGCCCGCCCCCGCCCCGCCCCCGCCCCGGCCGCGGCCGCGCACGCGCGCCGCTTTCGGCACCCGGCCCCGCCCTCGCCGTCGCCGTAACAACCGCTCGAGCCCTCGCCGCGCCCCTCGCAGCTCCCGCCCAGCCCCCTCCGCGGAACCGGCGGTCGAGCGGCAGCCGCCGAGCAGTGGAACTGCGACGGCACCGCGGAGCCGCCGGCATGAGCTCCTCCCGCCGCCCCGCGCCCCGGGCTCGGCCTTTCTGACAAGAGGTAGGTGCGCGTCCCCGCGGCGGGCTCCGAGCGCGCCCCCGGGCGGCCCCGGGACGCTCCGGCCGCCTCCTGCCCGCCCGCTCCGAGCCCGCGCCGGAGCGCAGCCCGGCCGCCTCCCCGAGCCCGTCCTGCGGGAGCCGAGCTGCGGCCGCGCTGCTGCGGGCCCCGGAGTCCGCGGCGCTGGCCCGGCCCGGCCACGCCGATTGTCATGCAATAGAGGCAGCCCGGTCCCGGACCCCGCGCCGCGCCTCCGAGCTGGCGCCCGGCGGGTTCAGGGAGGCGGCGAGTTGGCGGGTCCTCGCTGGAGTCACTCCGGGCTCCGCCAGGCCGGGTCCCAGCGGACCGGCGGACGGTTTCCTCTGCGAGCACCACCGTGTCTTGCATCCTCTCCCCAGCGGTCCTCCCCCGGCGGTCGTCCTCCTCTGTCTGGGAGATACCGTCAAATTAATTTTCCCAGTTAAAAACTTAAAAGCTTATTAGARCCCCGCCGTGCCCCGGCACCGCACGGTTTGCAAAGTGAATAGAACGTGGTCCCAGCGCCCGGGACGCGTCAGCTCCAGGATCCAGATGAACGCAGACTCGGAGTCGAGTTTGGAGAACTCAGAGTTTGGCTCCGGTTATCATGATTTTAGAGCTGTGAGTGTTTCAAGATCATCTTTCCCAAACCTGGTTTTAGAGAGATGGAATTAGGGAGGGCCAATGGCTTGCTGGAGGTCATTATTCCCTCGCAGTTTTCCGACTGTCAGATGGCTTGCTTTCCAGCATAGCCTGCTCCTCTGAGAGATATGCCAAGTAAACATACCAGAGGAAGTCCCAGGCCCGCTTAAAGTGGTGTAAACAGGGTGGAAATGCGGTCATATGGAGAGCAGTGTTCTGAAATAAAATCCTCATAATGTCTTTTTTTACAGCTAGACTTTGGGATCCTTGAGGCTATTCAGCTATGCACTTTTGAATATCCTCTCACCATATTCAACATAACGTTCTTAATGATTATCCTCAGCAGGACAGGTAGGCTGATTTGATTTATTTTTTCCTCCTCACTTTTCTCTTCCCACTTTTAGTTAGGTGAGTGGAGTCCCAGGTGTGTTTTCAGAAACCTCCAGCGAGGCTGGCACCAGAATGATTTTGTGCTGGAGGGGGTTCCTTGGTGTGTGGGTGAAGCTTGAGCAGGGCTGGAAGCCTCAGAGCCATCACAGCTCTTCCAGGCTGGAGTGTTCAGGGAGCCCCTAGAACCACAGTGCTCAGCCTCCCTGTCGCTTGAAGACTGATCTCTGAAATTGTAGTATACACGGAAGACAGGACAGGATGAAAGTGCTGTTTGGGAACCAGCATTTTGAGGGGTACTCCATGATTTGAGATACATAGTATTTTTCCCCTGCTTTTTTGTGTTTTCCCCAGAGTTGAGTAAGACGTTAACCATTTTTAAAAAAAAAATTTTCCTAGTTATACGTGGACACAATATCTTTCTTTATTTTGCTTATTTGGTTTTACATGGTGCTGAAGATCGAACCCAGTGCCTCACATGTGCAAGGCAAGCGCTCTGCCACTGAGCCCCAGCCCGATGATGACCATTTTTATTTGACTTTCAGTTGAAGTTGTTCAAAAGAGATAATTGGACTAATTGAATCCTAGCATTTTCTTCCTAGGAAGGACTAGATCATGGAACCCAGTGCAGGGCCCAGCTACACAGATGAAGGCAGTGGAGGACTCCACCCTCAGACCAGTGTGGTTCCCTTGTTCCCTTGGGCATACTTTGCCTTTTTTATTGTCTCACTACCTCCCCTGCATTGTGTATTTCAGTATCTTTTGATTTATGTGTGCATAGAAGTATGACTTATTGTGGTCCCTTTTTAGCCTTAGAATGTGGGATGATGTGTTGATGCAGACTTATTTTTTCTGTATAGTGGTGGTTTATCACATATGGGTATGTTTTGCAGGTGTGAGAGGATTGCTATTGTACTACAATCATGGTGCAAAAATACCAGTCACCAGTGAGGGTGTATAAACACCCCTTTGAATTAATTATGGCTGTAAGTACTGTACATTTCCCTTTACTCTTTGGCTTCTTATTTTTTAAGTCTTAGAATCTGATACTCTGTAAACTTAACGTGCATTGTTTGTCCCCATTGCTTCACTTAGTCTGTTTACATGCTCATGAACTGTATTGTGTGTAAGATGTTTTTAAAACATAAGCCTCTGAAAATCTGCACATTTGTTTTATAAAAACACCCCTCGGGATCATGTGTGAATTTGCGTTAATTCCCCCTTTAAAAATGCAGAAGTGGGATTCTGACTAAACACTTCCTATGAATTTTGTTTTTTGGTTAAAGTAGCAGAGGGACGTGGCGTGTGGGTTCTTGCCTGTGGGAGCGAGCTCTGGTTGTGGGTGACTGCAGGTAGTCTCCGAGGAGCACTGGAAGGGGGCCTGCCTCGGCTACTCTACTGCCTGGGCTTCCCACCTGACAGCAAATCTGTGAGTCAGATTCCACAAATGAGATAACTGAAGTCTCATTTTCTTGTTGGTATTTGCCTGAAAATTTGGCTAAAAATAAACATTTGACTGGACAGAAAAACTGTTCCAGGTCTTCTTAGGTTACTGTGTATAGTAATACTCCTTGCCTTCTCTTTTGTGTTATTATAAGGGTATGATACATTCAGGAACACGTGATAGCTCCAGGAAAAGGCTCTCACTGTCACCCATATGCATCCCTAAGGAAGTGTCACACTGAACACACCAGGGTTCTGACACCAGGGTCAGTGATCTGAACATAGCAGCCCTGTTAGAAGTTGCACTTGGGGGCTGGAGATGTGGCTCAGCGGTAGCGCGCTCGCCTGGCATGCGTGTGGCCCGGGTTCGATCCTCAGCACCACATACCAACAAAGATGTTGTGTCCACCGAGAACTAAAAAATAAATATTAAAAATAAAAATTCTCTCTCTCTCTCTCTCTCTCTCTCTCTCTCTCTCTCTCTCTCTCTCTCTCACTCTCTCTTTAAAAAAAAAAAAAAAAAGAAAAAGAAGTTGCACTTGGCTCCTTTGGGTCCCCCCCACCTTCTCAAAGTGTGCCAGAAACCTGACTTCTTACACTGAAGGTGACTGGGCTGGGGATTTGCTCCAGTGACATGGCTCCTGCCTGTTATTCGCAAGGTCCTGAGTTCTATTGCCAGTTAGCACCCCCACCCCCAAAGTAGAAAGAAAAACTCCAGTCTAAGGGATTAAGGGGAAGTTTTGTGGGTGTTTTATTGAGGTATAACTTACATATAGAAGATGGCTACATGTTAGCCACATAGTTTGATCAGTTTTTTTAAAAAAGGTTTTTGGGTTGTAGATGGACACAATACCTTGATTTTGTTTATTTTTATGTGGTGCTGAGGATCAAACCTGGTGCCTCACACATGCTAGGCAAGCGCTCTGCCACTGAGCTACAACTGAGCCCCAGTTTGCTCAATTTTTTTTTTTTTTTTAGATTGAAAGCATGCCTTTATTTTATTTGTTTATTTTTATGTGGTGCTGAGAGTCAAATCCAGTGCTTCACACATGCTAGGCAAGTGCTCTGCCACTGCACCACAGCCTCCGTCCTGGTCAGTTTTAAGAAGATGGGCTGGGGATATAGCTCAGTTGGTAGAGTGCTTGCCTTGAATGCACAAGGCCCTGGGTTCAATCCCCGCACCAGCACAAAAAAGAAAAAAGGAAGAACAGTCACCCCCACCTCTGTCAAGACAGAGTATTTGCATCCGCTACCCCAACAAGCTCCTTGTGCTCCCTCTGTCAGGTGTGAGACTTCTGTGTGTATGGCTGTTTCTGAAAAACAGTTTTGTATATCTGAGTGGCGCTGTGTCTGAGAGGCTTTGCTGTCCGTCCGCGTCTCTCTTGCGGGTTTGGCTTTGGCTGTGTGGAGCAGAGGCTGCTGCAGCCAGCCTGAGAGGGGGTTCTGTTAGCACCCACACTTGTGGGCTGTAGGAACCTCACTGAGGGTTTCCAGCTGGGACAGGCAGAGCCTGGCGGTGGAGGGGGCTCTTGGCAGCTCTAGGGCCTAGGAGCCGTTGTCCCTGGAACTTCACCCCATGGGACCTCACCTCGCTCTATCTGCCAGAACTTTTTTGTCTCCCCACCAACTGGCTCTTGCGCACTCTTTGCCCTTCCCTGTGGCTTCAGCTCCAGTGCTATTCCAGTTGGCCAAAACCCTCTGGCTCCAGTTCAACTTTGTGGCATTTCTTGTTGTGTTCTTTTAGTTTCTAAGTGACCAGTTCTTGTTACATTTCCTAGTTCACATTTTCGAAAGAAACTTGATCTGGTCCACTTCTCCCCCCGGACCTTAACTACAAGCGGTTGGCCAGCTCATCTAGTGTCAGCCTTGGGTGGGATGCCTGGCCCTGGCCAGTTCCTGAGCTGGGGGGGTGTGGGGAGGAGGTGTGGGGATAGTAGGGACCCAGAGGCCGTGAGGAATGAAGCCGCAGTCTGCCCCACAAGGGAGGGGCTGTGGACAGGGCGTGTTGTTTTTTGGAGCCTGAAGTGTGATTTGAAAAGCGTTCTGCTGATCTCTTCTCCAAACACTAGATTTAATAAAGAGGCATTTTGTCTAATTTTCAAACTTCCTTATTTCCCTTACTTTACTACTTTCAAAATTGTGAAGTTTGCTTTGCAAATTTCATGCATGAATTTACAGAAGAATTCAAAAATCAAATTTGAATTTCTTAAAAATTAAGCCTTTGTAAATTGCTTTTGTTTTGGGTAGTTGTTAATTTCCTTTTGAGTTGTTAAAAAATATATATTGCTTTTCTCCTTCCAAAACCAGGATATTCGTTAAGTCATTAGGATTTTTGGTGCACTTGCCCTTTTTCTGACTAGTTGTATGGCTTAACATCCTCAGTATTCACTCATTTCGCTTTTTTTTCTTATTGAGGAAAAACAACTGTGATAAGAGGAAGCATTTGGGGTGAGGAAGAAGGGCTGCAGTCAAGGCGGGGACAGCACTGTAGCTCTCAGTGAAATATTTGTGAGAACCTCAAAAAGACCATGCTTCAAAAATCACAGTGCACAGCAGAGTCCGAGGAGTGAGGAAGTGTGGTGGCATTCAGCAATAGGTGATTTTGTTAGGGATCCTAATTTATATGTGTCCCCATGGAGAGAAGGATTGGGAGAAAACAAACTTGCAGACTTGCCCAACTTGAGCATGCGTTGGTTTGCTTTAACCAAGAGTTGAATTGTAGCTTAGGATTCATTGATAGAAAATGGTTCAGGTGGAAAGTTCCTATTGCAGATAGGTAACCAGTGGGGCCGGACGTGTCCATTGCATTTCAGTCAATTTAATGAAGACTTATCATTGTTTTGGGGTCAGCAGCATTGAAAAAATCACATTAATGGTCTCATTAACTTTTTTTTTTTTTTTTTTTTTGCTGGGGATTGAACCTTGCATGGGCCAGGCCTGCACTCTACCACTGAGCCATGTCTGTTCCCAGCCCTCCTTGAACACATTGGAATTAAAGTGTGGTGAGGAGGAGGTTCCTAGTAGGCATTTGCAGCACTTTGAAGTACTTTGTTAGATGTTAGCCCAGAAATGGACACTGGAGCTGAGATAGCGCTGCCCCTCTAGCTCTGGGGGAGGAATCCGAGACGCCACAGTGCAACCTGCAGTCAGTGGCAGAGATCTTGAGTTTAGTGTTCTTTTTATCACACTGTGCTTTTCCTTGCCCCCTAGTAATGTGTATCTGGAAACATCTTATGAAAGGTCTTGTCCATGAAGATGGCCTCAAGTCTAGTGTCACCCAATCACATTTCCCAGGGTACTCTCCTGGCGCGGGGGAGGAGAAATGACCCGAGCAGATGCCCCAGCTGAGTGTGCCTGCAAGGATTTAGGGTCTCCCTGGGCACAGGGTATGCCCCACAGGTAGGAGCTTGGAAGGGGAAGCAGCAGGCTGAGGTGCTTGGGTTGGAGGTTTCCTGTGAACTGCCTAAAGAGGCCTTTTCAAGTGCAGCCCCTCCCCAGGCTAGGGCCCCTGGCTGTGTCAAGTGGGAGGAGCGCAGGCCTGAGGGCCACATTGGGTGGATCTGTTTTCCACCCAGGGCACTGGGATGTGACAAAAGGGGCTGCACTAGCTCTTGTGTGTCTGGCACTCTTCTCCTGTCCCTGTTGCCCAGGCCGCCTCGCCCCTCCCCTTCTCTCCCTCCCTCCCCTTCTCGGTCCCCTCTTTTTTGGCAGTGCTGCTTTTCTCCCCAAACCCTTTTCTCCTCAGTGTACCCTCACAGGCACACTGTGTTAGTTGTGCCTTCAGGGCACACGGCTCCCTGTCCCTGTCTCCCAGCCACCAGCGTCTGTCCAGCCTTCTCGTGGTCTGGGGGGTGAACAGACATGACTTGCTGGTTTCCTCTCCCGTCTTTTAGCCCCGAGTCACCCTGCCTTCTCTTCCCACACCTCCTGTCCGTCCTGCACTGCAGGGTCCCGCTGCCTGCACCCGCTTCAGAACCCCGCGGCTCTGTCTGTAAGGCTCTTTCTGCCTCTGTCCAGCCCTTCCTGTTTTGCCTATCTCACAAATTGTGCACACTTCCCAATTTGAACTCTTATTTTAGTTGTTTATTTATTTATTTTGGTCCTGGGGATGTAACTCCGCCTGTACATACAAGGCAAGCTCTCTACCAATCCAGCCCCAGCCCCAGTCCTAACTTACATTCTTTAATGTTCTGGTCTGCTTGAGAGCAGTGTCCTTCCTGCCCCTGCCCTGCCCTGCCCTGCCCTGCCCTGCCCCTGCCCCTGCCCCCCCCTGCCCTGCCCTGCCCCTGCCCTGCCCCTGCCCTGCCCCGCCCCTTTTCTTTAGCTCAGATGTTTGCCTTTCCCATCTGTCTTTTAAAATCTTCTTCATCTTGTCTTGCCTCTGCCCTGATGCCTCTCCAGGCCTGCCTCCTGTCTCTCCTCCCTCTCTTACATCTCCTCACCTTTCCCCTTTTCTCCCACCTTTCCCTTCGCTGGGGATAGAACCCAGGGCCTCCTCGTGCTGAGCAGCCCTCTACCACTGGGCTCCACCCCCAGCCCTGCG